TACCCCGTTGATTTTTAAATTATTCTGTAGGATGCAAAAACAGTTTCTCTCTGAGAATTAGTGGCTTGTATTGCACTGATTCAATGGTGTGAGAAAAAGGATTTGAGGAATCCTAGCCAGGAATCTGAAAGATTGAGGGCAATAGAAGAAGGGGAGACAGAGAATGAGGTGGCTGGATGGAGTCACTGAAGCAGTAGGTGTGAGCTTAAATGGATTCCAGAAGATTGTAGAGGACAGGAAGGCCTGGAGGAATATTGTCCATGGGCTCACGATGGGTCAGACACGACCGCAACTAACAACAACAAAAAACCAGGTATCTGGGGATGAGTCCCAAATTAAATCTGCCTTTTATCAAACTAGACAATTAGTTTATTTAGGGTAGGATTCCCAACATACCCATCTGGAGAAACCAAAAAATAAAATGTATACTTGTTCTAACATTTTTAGCCATGACCAGTGATTGATCAATATATATATGGGATAAACAATAATGCTGTTCCATAATTAGTTTTTGAGTGGTGTCAGATTTCAGAGGTATGATGCTTTTCCAGTTTTGGTTTATTTTGGCATAAGGATACTTGATATTTAGTTGCACTGGGCAATATGTGTATTTATTCATAAATAGATAGGTAGAGCCCAGATGGAAGTAAAGCAGTGAACCCTTTCATAGCTTCTCCAACCTTCATTGTTGTACCATGGGATTCATAATAGCCAACTGTTATCTGAAGACTCTGTATAGGGACTGTTACTTTGCCTTTTTCTCAATTGTAACATTTTTTTTCTTTAAAAAGCAATATATCACATCATTTTCTGTAAAAGAAATGGGGGAGTGAATGGAAGGAGAAATATACCTCCCCTTCAAGAACAGTATTTAGTCATTTCCTTAGCTAGTTTTTAAAAGTCAATAGATAATACAGTTGTTAATCTGTAAAATCAATCCAAGGATAAGGTTGTTTTGTTATTTTTCCTTAACAAAAAGAGGCACTGCTCACTATTTTGCTAGATCTATCTACAGGTCCAAAATTCTAGGCAGACATGCCTCAGGCAACTATCACTACAAAAAGACTTATTTCTAAGGTTATAGGATCTCATATGAACTGCAATCCATTCACTTTACCAGTCCTACAATAGGCATTCAGTTGAACTACAACTTGCAGTCGCCTTGGGCTTTATAGAGCGGTTACATGGAAATTCAAATAGGAACTTTAAATCTTCTCATTCGTATGCAAGATAAACTGCACCCACTGATTATTTTTCCTGCTAACCCACAATTAAACTAAAATAGTTAAAAGCGCACAATACATTCCTCTCCTTTGCAGAGGTGGGAAGGAAGAATCAAAATATTTCATTGAAATGTAATGACAAAAGGAAAATATAAGTTTAAAAAACAGAAAAGGCAAAAAAAAAAAAACAAAACCTCAAAACAAAACCCCAAACACCTGGTACAAATAGCAAAAATCAGGGGAAAGAAATTCCAGCTGTTCTGTTGGGAAAATGAAAATTTGCTTTTAGATTTAAGTGAAACACCAGTTTTTCTCATTTAAATTAATGTAGTAATTTGAGAAATATTTATAGCCTAATTAAACTGAGTAGGAACCTCAGTTTCTCACAAATCAGCTGTTATGGTATGTTGTTGTTAATTGCGAAGTCGTGTCCGACCCATCGCGACCCCATGGACAACATTCCTCCAGGTCTTCCTGTCCTCTACCATCTTCTGGAGTCCATTTAAGTTCACACCTACTGCTTCAGTGACTCCATCCAGCCATCTCATTCTCTGTCGTCCCCTTCTTCTATTGCCCTCAATCTTTCCCAGCATTAGGCCTCTTCTCCAGTGAATCCTTCCTTCTCATTAGGTGGCCAAAGTACTTGAGTTTCAACTTCAGGATCTGGCCTTCTAAAGAGCAGTCGGGGTTGATCTCTTCTAGGACCGACCGGTTTGAACGCCTTGCAGTCCAAGGGACTCGCAGGAGTCTTCTCCAGCACCACAGTTCAAAGGCCTCAATTCTTTTGCGCTCAGCCTTTCTTATGGTCCAACTTTCACAGCCATACATTGCAACTGGGAAAACCATGGCCTGGACTATACGTACTTTTGTTGGCAGGGTGATGTCTCTGCTTTTTAGTATGCTGTCTAGATTTGCCATAGCTTTCCTCCCCAGGAGCAAGCGTCTTTTAATTTCTTGGCTGCAGTCCCCATCTGAGGTGATCTTGGAGCCCAGAAAAATAAAATCTGTCACTACCTCCATTTCTTCCCCATCTATTTGCCAGGAATTGAGAGGGCCGGATGCCATGATTTTGGTTTTCTTAATGTTGAGTTTCAAGCCAACTTTGCACTCTCCTTCTTCACCCGCATCAAGAGGCTCTTTAGTTCCTCTTCACTTTCTGCCATTAGAGTGGTATCATCTGCATATCTTAGGTTGTTGATATTTCTCCCGGCAATCTTAATTCCAACTTTTGATTCATCTAGCCCTGCCTTTCTCATGATGTGCTCTGCATATAAGTTAAATAGGCAGGGCGACAGTATACAGCCTTGCCGGACTCCTTTTCCAATTTTGAACCAATCAGTGGTTCCGTGTTCGGTTCTCACTGTTGCTTCTTGACCCGCATATAGGTTTCTCAAGAGACAAATGAGATGGTCTGGTACTCCCATCTCTTTAAGAACTTGTTATGGTATAGTAGTAGCCAAATTACTGTAGTAGAAACAATTGAATATCTACTAGGTGGCTTCTAAAGTAATGAAATGAGATTTCCAGGGAGTGAAAAACAGTTTAAAAAATAAAAATCTATCACTTGGCAGTACTTTTATTAGGATCAATAAATATATTTTAAAATAAGTGGATAAACTTCCTAGTTTACTAGACTCCTTTAACTGGCCAGGTGCTATATAGAGGAGGAAATAGAAAAAAAAGTACAAAAATTAGCAAATTCCTATAGCACTAAGATTTGAACCTCAAGATTGGGTCTAGGTTTACACCCTGGTCTAAATCATATTTGGGTTTAGTCCTGGTTTATTAAATTTGCACTAAGCCATAAAATATGGATTATAAACTATAGAAGAAGTATTCACAAACCAAATATAGCAAAGCCAAAATTAAGCAAAACACATTATGGCTTTGTATAATACGGGAATTTATGCATCTGGAGCAAAGCACATTGGCATCATGTGTAGCTCAATGTAACATGCAGACAGTGCAAACTGTGCAATTTGAATCAGTCCAAAATTTGCATGGTGATGGCAAAAATTATACAGCAACTTGCAATGATGGTGTCATGGCATATGTGTTGATACTTGCCCCCCCCCCCGCTCCCCGCAGTGGCCATGTTTGTGAACCCAGTTGGTTTGAGAACAATTTCTCTGTGGGATTCAAGTTTCCATTTTTAAAGGGTTATAGAATAAAGACAAATGGTCACTCCCACCATTGAAAACACTCATCATTTAGTGAGATTCATTTTCAGTCTTCTGAGAAAACACCAATCTCTTGTTGAGCAAAGGGCAGAGGAAAAATCTAGCAATCTAAGGTGGGAGCTATGTAGTTAGGGTTGTTCAGCCAGAAATGGAACGCAATGCAGTGTAACCAGATATATTCACATACAAGGACCATTGCTTAAGGTGAAATCTAAAGATATTTACTCAGAAATTAAGAACATTTCTTTGAAATCTTCATAAGGTTTTAACCTCTGGAATCTGAACTGACTTACTGTAACTCCAGAACAGATTCTGCCAGAGTTAGTCGAACTGCCATATGCATCAATGCTATTTTCCGTGTTTGTTTGTTTTTAATACATTCAAAATTGTCTAACCAGTTGCGTTTTATACTTATATTACACCTCAGTTACAGTATTTATTGCAGCTATAACAATTTTAGACTACCACATACAGGCTATTAGTTTTATTTATTTTACACTAGCAAACCTAGTTAAACCAAGAGAACAATTTCCTCGAGGTTGCCCAATAGATGAATATGCCTGGGGTGAGGGGGATTTTTTTTTTAAAAAAATCTTAATTCAACATTTCCTTCCACTTGAGTGCCTATTTTGTAACCCTACTTGCCAGTTAAGTACTTGACTTTCAGCATGGTGATAGCTTCAGTGTTAGGCACACAATAGGCTTTACTTTCTCAGGTGGCCTATCTCAAGCTGGAACTTCCGCACTAAAAAAAAAAAAGCAAGCACTCAGCGCTCTTTTCCTTTAGCTTCCATCCGCCCCCTCCCACCTCCGCCCGCTTCCCCCTCTGCACCATTTTAAAGCCTTGCCCAATTGTGCCGCGTTCTAAAAGTCATTCGAAACGGGTTGCTTCTCTTAATAGGCATTTAACGCGCTGCTGCTGTTGGCGAAGGGGAGAAAACCTGTTCGAGTACGCTCGGAGATCGACTAGGCTTCCCTGCCCGGAGCTCAGCGCCTGGTACGGTTGGCTCAAAGGACAGTCGCAGTTGCCCCTTAACAGGTGGTCAGGCGAGCAGCGCTTCAACAGGTGCAGTTTCACTGTTATGAAGTCATGGGCCGAGCTGCACCTGTGGCGTTTTCCAGCCGATGCTGAGGCAGCGGGGACTGGGTGGACGATGGCCACCCCGCAGCCTTTCTAGCAAAGCGAAAGCGCTGCTTTAGGGGTTATTCCACGCGCCTCCAGGGCTAGCGAGCTTACGAGTTCACACTTTGAAACCGGTCCCAGGTGAGAAAGCGGGGACTTGGCAGCCGGGCGACCCGCGGATCTCAAGACTTGGGAGAGCACGTGTTTAGTAAAAGTGGTGAAGGGCTGGCTAGAATGAAAGCCGACCCCGCGGGAAGCCGAACGGATCCGGCACCTGGCTTTTGTATACATGCCTGGCTGTCTCTAATGTCGCTGAGAAAAATAGGAAACATAAATGCCCTCCTCACATCCTCCACTTTTTAAAAATGCCCCCTCTTCTCTTTTCTCTAATTCCTCCCCCCCCATGCATAAGCATCAAAGCGCAGCCACGGCGGGCAGAGATCGGAGCTTCAGTCTTAACGCCCCCATATAAACAGCCGAGGTTGCCGGAGAAGAGCACGGCTGGGCCGTCTTCCCGAGAGCGGGCGGCAGGAGGCGCTGGCGCGTCCGCTCTAACGGGCTACTATGAGCTCCCTGCCGAAACGAGTCCCTCATTCCCGCGGCCGAGGCACTAAGAAACGGAGGGACGGACGCGCGCGAGCGCTCAGCTCCTCCTTTCGCGGCTGAGCAAAGTAACTCCGATGGAGTAACGAGCAGCCGCGATCGCAGCAGCCGCCAGCACCGGGCTTGAGCTTGCGCCCGGAGGGGGCGGGCGGGAGAGCACCGCCGTCCAGCCAGCAAAGAAGAGAAGAGAGAGAAAAAAACAACTGTTGCCTTCCTTTCTTCTTTCTTTCCTTTCCGACCAGGCAACAGGAATCTCCGGGAAGACGGCTCTGGGCAGAGACCGCCTGAGCAGAGAGACTCCGGGTAAAGTTATCCAAACTCGCTATGGCCCCGGAGGCTGGAGCCGTCGGTTTACTGGCGGTGATCGTCTCCTTCGTCGCGCCCTCGGCTGCCTTCCTGGGAGCAGCTCGTGGCCAGTTCTCGGCAGGTAAGGACTTGCTCCGTGCCAAGGCGTCCCGTTTCTATGGGGGAAGCGGGCCGCCTCCTCCTTTGCCTCCCTTGGCTTCTCCCGCTGGGTGCCGGGGGAGGGGGGAGGGAACCTTTGGGGTTCGAAGAGCTCCCTCCCGTTGGAAGAGACGGGAGGCGGTGGAGGTTGTACCGAGGGAAGGGGTCCCATTAGAGAAGTGGGCTTCTTTCCCGGCTGATTCCGCCACATTCCTGAGCTTGAGGCAAGGAGGGTGCCTAGCAGCCTCGGGCTTGCAATGGAGAGCCCCCCCCCTCTCCCCGAAAAAAAAAAAAAGACTAGCCGTTTGGGGTTCTCCCTCATAGTTGCTTCGGAGGTTGGAGGAAGTGGAACGCCGCGGTGCCTTCCTTCCAGAATCCCACCTTCGGCACCTTCGCGCGTTCGAGAGCGAGAAGGGACCGTTGGGAAGGAAGCATTGTCCTTTCGCTCGCCCTTTCCTCAAAGCTGGGAAATCGCCCTCACCTCCCGCCTGGCACTGGCGGCTGCGTGTAAAATCACTGGAGTTTTTGCCTCTTGGAACCGGGGTGCGGGGTGGGGAGAAGAGCCATAGAAGGGGCCCATATTAGACCATCGAGTCCAACGCGCCGCTCGGAGCAGGAATCCACCAGACTTCCAGGAGTTGCACATTTTCGGCTTCTCACGCCAAGGGTCGACCTCTCGCCTGGTCAGTTGCCCAGATCCTGTTTGCGTAGCCTTGGCTCGTTACATTGTGGAATATCTCCTCTGCTTTGTTAGTAGAGATGGGGGTGCTTTCGGGGGGGGGGAGCTGATTTCTGCATGATTGCGGCATACACACACACGAGAAAAAAAAAAAGGGGGGGGGGGCACAAAAGGAATGTTAAGTTTTCCCCGGAAGCTTTCGCTAACTTATTTGTATCTAAACTGGAAAGGGGCTGAGGAGGAACAACTCACTCCTCTTCTCTCAGTGTGTAGCTTCACTTCGTATAACCGGAGCCTTGAAGGGAGGGTAGTGCTTCGGGTCACCGCCTCAGGTTTACCTTCTCCTCCCCGGATCATCTTAGCAGCCCTTTCCCCCTTTTCAGGGGAGTGGAGAGCAGCCGCGAAACAGTTAAGGCTTTGGCGCGGTTATCAGGCTTTTTCTAAAGCAAACAAGCTGCACCCAACAGCGACGGCCCGATTCCTCCTTTCTTCTGTTGACTTTACTGCCGGGCTAACTTTTGGCCCGAGGGGGGCTGGTCTCGGCGCAGCGGCTTCCCGCGGGCGGAATGGCTTTGGACGCGCAGGCTCCCCCGCGCAGAGACGTTCAGAACTTGGCATGGGTTCTGGTTAGCGAGCGCCTTTCAGCCTCGCCTTTTGTTTCTGGAAAAAAAGCCACAAAAACCTGGTGATTAAGCGCCAGAGAGAAAGTCATCTGAAGGTTTTGGGGTGGGGGAAGAGGAATGCGAGTTGACAGCTACAGAGCGAAATGCTGAAAGTCCCAACAAACCTGCTTGCCCAGTTCAAGGGGATGTTGGCTATATATACATCCCAGAAATGGTACTGGCTGTGTAACCGTATCTTTTTGTCTGGAAGGAAAAGCGGCCATTCGGTTTGGAACGACTTGTAAAAAAGACACTTCCCAATGCAAATCAATTGTAAAATCTACTGAGGGTGTTTGACCTCTGACACTGTTTCTTGTGTTTTCTATGTAAGATCGGAGAAATAGGCTGTCTTAATCTAGTTGGACTTGTGTGCAGTCTTTTCTGAAGAGAGGCAGAAAGTTGGAGATAGCAGGATTCTTATACCACTCAAATCCATTGGTTTTAGGGGAGCTTATTTCTGTGTGTGTATAACTTATGTTGCAAAGAACCTTATCCAATAAACAAACAACTTTGAAATAATTTTTTCTCCCTTCCAAATGTTTGCAAGACTGAAATCTTGATACGAAGTTTTGAAATTGTTAGCTGTAGATTGCAATGATTGAAAGATATTATGGAGTGTATTTTTAACAAATATAAACAAAAGGTCTTATGCATATGTTGTCAATATTCTCGGAACATTTGAGCTATTTCCGTTCTATTTTTTAAAGAAAAAACAATGCAAAACTTTTTTTTCAGTGCCAGTAGTTTTGTTGTGTTGTGTGCAGTCAAAGACAAAAGGAAAATGTATTCTGCATTTGCCTTCAGTTACATGCTTTCTCTACCTTACTAGATATGCTAAATCACCTACTGCTTTTAAACTATCATTTAATCAGGCAATTTAAATTTTATTTTTTTTAGATACATCCATTTCAATGCTGAAGCAGTTAAATCTGTAGTGTGTTGATTGCTAGCTTTTATTTCTGCATTCTGTTGCTGCTCTTTGCAATGCAGTTCTTGTTTCTCACATACTCTTTCCCCAAGGAAAGTTATGATAACTGCATATTCTACAAGTGTATCATTCTTTGTAACTTGGAAGGTAGAATAAGGGACCAAGGTTACATCAGTATCCTGGAATTTTATTAGGTGTGGTGACAGGAGGAAAACAGACGCACACATATGAAGGGATTCTTAGGGGGTGATTCACAGACCACCTGCGATAGGACAGGAATTAAATTAACTGCCAGCAGTCTCTGAATTGTCCTATTTTTTTAAAAAAAATAGATCACTACAATAAATTGGACAGATTTTTCTGGTATTGCTGAACTCTCAGTATTAAACACTATCTGCCCTTGACTTCAGATAGCTGACAATCAAATTGAAAAGCTGTCAGCTAGCCATTTATTAATACAGACTTCTAAGTTTGAAGAAAAAGATACAATTTTGAGAGATGCCACAAATTGTAGTAGTGCAAGACTAGGTTTTTCTTGAGTTTAGGATATATGCATAATGTGGCTTGAAGCGACCCTCTATAATTTTGTCTAATGTATTCTCTTCAACTTTGTTCTACATGTTGTTAAAAAAAATGTGCTGATGTCTGAAACAAAGACCTAGGGGTGTTACAAATTAATTCAGGGAAACACTTCTTTCTTTAATAAATATGGAACAAAAGACAATAAAAGGCAACAGGATTCCCTTTTTTTATTCCAATTTTGTTATTTTGTCAAGAATTACTCTGAATATTGTTTTGAATGGACAAGCAATGTATAAATATACAAGTGTTGTGTATGATTATGCAAATGTAAATATCATACATTTGTCATGAAGCTTTTACATCCTAACCGGGGTCTGTATCTCCCTTCATCTCATTATAATAAGTTCATTCTCATTCTTGTCTAGAGCTCTGTGTTTAAAATTATCAGATTCAGTGTAAATGTTGACTGTCTTGATCATCATTTAATTAACATTTTTAATAAAGTCAGCAATGACTTCAGTAGCTTAGTGATGTGAGCACATTAATTGAAATTGTATTATAGTCTTTAGCTTAATTCCTGAATCATTTGTTGGCATAGAAGCAGTATTATTCAGAAGTAGCATAAAAATATAGTGCTGCTTTTTAAAAATTAGACTGTGTAGGAGACTATATGGGTTCTGGCCCTAAATATAGTTCACAAGTTTCTGTGAAACTGGCCCTTTTCCAAGTGACTTTCTCCTGTTAACAGTTTCTCTTCAGAGATATTTAGTGTGAATAAAAAAAGGTAAAGGAGTCCCTGCGGATTTTGCTCGGCTAGTCATAGCCAAGGCCATTGACCCAACTTTCCGCAGACATTTCTGCAGTCATGTGCTCAGCATGACATCACGGAGTGCTGTTATTTTACCACCAAAGTGGTACCTATTTATCTACTTGCATTTGCATTTGCTTTCATACTGCTAGTTTGGTAGGAGCTAGGGTGAGGATAGGAGCTTATCCCATCACATGGAGATTGGTTCTCGAACCTGGGCTACCAGCTTTCCAGCTGACAAGCCCAACATCTTAACTGCTGAGCCATCATGTTGCCCTGTTTAATAGAAGTACAGAGAAGAAATTAGAAATAAAGCAAGATGAAGTGGTACTGATTACGGGGATTGGCAGAGAACAGGGACAGTTTTAACAGGAGAGAAGAAAATTGCAGAATGGGAAAATACCTCAACCTTATTTTTTTTCCTGTGCATTATTCACCCAGCCTTTCATCTATAGCAAAAAGATATGATAGATGATATCAATTCACAGTAAGAGGTAGAAATTCCATGTCAAGACTGTTTTTCAAAATTCCAGCTGTTCATTATCTTGCATTATCCTTTTTGCTAACCATAATGTAACATTCAGTGACCATTGATCATCCGTTTGTTTTGGAAAGAAAACTCCACAATGTTTTTGCCTTGTAGTTATTTTGGGTACACAAAATAACCTGTTTTACTTGCTGGTATATAATATTCTCTCTTAAGCATATAGGTGAACTTGATAAGTGATTCATGGTTTGGGAATGGATTTTACATTCATGATTGTATGTTAGATCCTTCCTATATGATTTATATATGTATGATCCAAATCACTATGGGAGTTGAAGGATGGATGAGTTGTTCTTTTTTTTAAAAAAAAATGGTGGAAATAAAACAGCATTGTTGCTGTTTCAGGACAAATCTCTTTACTATATTTTGTCAAATTTTTTCACTGAGAAATAATCTTCCCTGGATGGGTTCTTAGACTATTTTGAAGTGGACAATGAGAGGAATAATTATAAGACGACTTTAATCTCCAGATCACAGCTTTGTCTATATGAAGAAAATCCATGGACTGGATTGGCAAAATTTAATATTACATCTTAATGAAATTGATCACAATAGCAGAAAATATGTAACACAATTCCCTTAAAAATCTTTAAACTTCCTACCACTTGTGAAAGAACTTACTCCAGTACCAAACTCTTCACAATAATGTAGGTTTTATTTAATTCATCTGAAACCAGACACAAATAGGAACAGTAGACTTTAAAATGTAAATGTAAAACAAATATAATTTTACTGGGGAAAGTGAGTTTAAGTAAAAACAATATGATCTAGTTTGGCAAGTTCTAATACAGGATTTTTCTAAGCAAATAAAACCTAAGACAATTGAAATAGCAGTAG